TAGTCACCACCTTCTGCAGTCTCACTTGCTACATGTTTAGCAGGTAATCTGTATTATGTAAACTTTATTTTTATTTCTCTCCTGGAAAAATGCCATTATCGGTCCTCTATTAATCTTATTCTTCAAAGCAGACAAGTGCTCCCATGTTTTCTTGACTAAATTGGATCAAGTGGACCTAAAAAACTTTGTGTTTTTATGACAATTTAAACAGGAGGCAAGTTGAAGTTTGCAATAAAGTTGGAGGAAGGTATGAATGACAAATGAAGTGCTAATCCCTAATAATTTTCAGCTTAAAACAGCACTGATTAAATATGTAGAGAACTGTTCTTTAGTCACAAGATATTGTACCTCTTAAGACTTAGAAAATAGAAGTATGTAAACAGCCAACCTGACAAATAGGTTAAGATACATTAACAACTAAAAATCTTAAGAATGCCAAGAAATGATTGATCACTCCAGAAACAACATAAAAACGGCAAAGGTTTCTGACAGTGTACTTTTTTTGTAGTATATGGCCAATTTTATGACAAGATTCGTTTTCTGCAGCACACCTACTCCTGCACTCAATTCTTAACTCCTGGCCTTACTATTCCAGCCTTGGAGGTGTATAAAGTAGGCAGAAAACAAGCTGATTCACATCTTCAGCATTTTCTCCTAAGATCTAGCCATTTTTCTCATTTATAGCAATTCAGTACTCGAAGTTGTATTTGAAACCTAAATGGATCCAAAAGCTGAAAACGGAAAGGATTTTGGCCAATAGATAAGACAGAGGTAAAGTTACAGAAGTAAACTTACCCCAGAACACCCTAACTTTAGAGCTGATATACAGCTGGTTTCCACCTTGCTGTATGGAGCCTTTACAGTAGGGATAATTTCTTGGTTGATTTTGTATCATAGCTCCCTCTAGTGGCTGATTTTCACTAGCATTTATCCAAATAGAGTGGAACATTGTTTTTTAAAAATCATCTTAAAGACATTTGGCATCCGCTGTTTTGTTCAAAGTATATTTGGTGAAGATGAGTATGGCATCCTACAGAGGCTCAATTTTCACTATCACCATAGTGATAGTTCTATCAATAGCTGATAGATACTTGTAAGCTGGAATTAAGACACTTTTTATCTAGTGGTTGACTCCTTTGTACTTTTTAAGAGATGAAGGC